TAACAGTACATTAAGACCTGGAAATAAAGCGGATGCCCTTCCAAGAGTGGTTCCATAAACTGTAAGATGTCAGCATAGTGGAGTGTTATTGGGCTGTATGGCTATAGGACAAGGAACATGGCAGTAGATAGGGAGCTGGCCTCTGAGCTAGGAAGACCTGGGTTCACGTCTTCCCTCTAACACATACTGGCTGTGCATGTAGGTAAATCATGTAGAACCTTTCAGTGACTCCAGGAAATTCTGGAAGGCTATAAATGGAAGAGAAGGTACTCATTTGCAAATATAGAAGAAATTCCTCACTAGGATCGTCCTAAAAATGAAAATAATTTAAAAATTAATTTTTAATGAATATAAAGAATTCTGAGAATTCAGAGAAACATAGGAAGACATTGTATGAACTGATAAAGAGTGAAGTCAGCCCGACCACTGTAATGGAAAAGGAAATTGGGAGAGAGATTGACCCGTGATTTCATGGGTGGAGGGAAACTCCTCTCCTAAGGATGGTGGCTCTTTATTATCTCTGCCTCTTGACAAATGATCAACCACTTTTTCTTCTTTTTCACATTGTGGTGCCTGGAGGAGAGGATACCATCCCCAGCTCACAGGATAGGTCCCCCAGAAGATCCCTGTGTTTAATTACTTGATCAAGCCACATTGCTAAAGCTATAGCTTCCGAGCCCTCACTGATGTATTTACTTTTCATTATCCAGCCATAGGAAACATTGAGGTCAAAACAAAGGCATTTTCTAAAATGTCATGGTAAATCATCTATTTCCCTCATAAATACAAATATACTCAGCATAAGCCGGGAGAGGGCATGTATGTAGAAAACACAATTAGAAAGGCTCACGTATCCACTACCTTATTACATTTGTTTTATTGATGCCTTCTGTTTTATACACTACAGCTGTTTCCAGATATATTCCCCCAATCCCATAGAACCCTCTTGTATAATACAGAAAAATAGATAAATCCAACCAACAGAGCATTCCTATATGATGGCCTATAAAGCATTTAGCCTTTGTAGTTGCTTTACTCTGACTGTGTCAGAGTATACAGGAGGATGAGCACCTCTAGGGTGAGAGCTGCTGGCCCCTTTACAGAGTTGCTCATCCACCTTTAGTGTCCACCTTTCACCCAACTCTCACCTGTGGTTCCGAGAAGCTATAGCATGCCCAGCAGCCACATCCTGGCAAAACCATCTCAGCAGATCTGAGCCAGGTTGGAGGTAACAACCAGAAGTCTCTGTGAACTGCTTAGAGCAGTGGGGTCGAAGTTAAATAGACATGGGGGTGACCAAACCATATGGAAGGATCCCCACCAGAGCCTATTGACTTAGGAAACCACAGTGTTGACATTATCCATGTTGTACTGTATTTTTATTTATTTTGCTAAAAATTTCCCAATTACATTTTAATCTGGTCCAGGTTGTCTTCTAGAGTTTTGTGGGCCTTGAGTTTGTCACCTCTCATTTAGAGCACTGGGAAATTAATTATCCTGTCTTTGTGTGTAGAGAAGTCACTTGAACCAAGGTCTTCCTCTTCATCCATTATGTCACACGTGAAATGACTGGAATTCAAAAGAACACCAAAAGCCAGCTGATCTCAAATTGAAGGTAATCACCAATATGAGTTCTAGGAAATAGATGGTGAAATAGAGTAGATTCTCTATGGAACATGTATAGAAAAGCAGGACCAAAAGTGATGTAGCATTAGAAGATGCAGATGGTACACACATTAGGTTAATTGAAGCATTGAAGGAAATAGTAGCCCAGAATCTTAGAATCAAACAATTATAGAGAATTATAGATTCTAGATTCTTGAATCTATATCTTGAATCTAGATTCTAGATTCTAGAATCTTGGAATGGGCAGCTAGGTATTAAAGTGAATAGAGAACCAGGCCTGGAGTCAGGAAGACTCATTTTTTTTTTTTTAGGCAGTTGGGTTAAGTGATTTGCCCAGAGTCACACAGCTAATGAATGTCAAGTGTTTGGTCTGAGGCCGGATTTGAACTCAGGTCCTCCTGACTTCAGGGCCGGTGCTCTATCCACTGTGCCACCTAGCAACCCCTAGACTCATCTTACTAAGTTCAAATTTTGCCTCAGACATTTCCTAGCTGTGTGACCTTGGGCAAGTCACTTAACCTTGTTTGCCTCAGTTTCCGCATCCATAAAATGAACTAGAGAACCACTGCAGTATCTTTGCCAAGAAAATCCCAAAATGGGGTCACAAAGAGAGGGGTACAACTGAAAAATGACTGCACAACAACAACAACAAAGAATCTCGGAATTATAGAATTCTGAATTGCAAGGGTCCGACCCTCCATCAGCTAATAAATGCGGAATGGTTTGAAAAGCATAGTTCTCTGTAGAAGATTGTACCGGTATGCTTGCTTCTCTCTTAGATGTTGTCCAATTGGTCTTCCCACTCCATGTAGGATATTCCCTCTAGAGTATATCTGATCATCTGATCTTCTCTTGAAAGCCTCCAAGGACAGAGAGATCACTACCTCACAAGATAACCTATTCTATTTTTGGGGGATTTGATAGGAGTCCTAGCTTCCTTTAAGTCCCAACTAAAATTCCTTCTTTTGCTGGAAACCTTTCCTATTCCCTCATAATTCTAGTGTTTTCCTTCTGTTAACTATTTCCTATTTATCCTGTATATAGCTTGCTTTGTTTACATTTGTTTACGCATCATCTCTTCTGTGAGATTGTAAGCTCCTCGAGAACAGGGACTGTCTTTTGTCTCTTTTTGTATCCCCACAACTTAGCACAGTGCCTGGGCACATAGTAGGTACTTAATAAATGTTTATTGATTGAGTTCTGTAGTTTTCCAACCTAACCTGTCCTCTCCCTATCCTGGTTGTCTTTCTTTATTCCAAGTTCAGAAATGGGGGAGGTTCGTGTGGGTGCCCTCTGGAGACACCTTCTAAAACAGTGCCCTAAAAATGCCCTTCCTTTGCTTGCTATAAACAGCGCCAGTTTTTTAATGTATCTTTTTCACTTTGGTAAGAGGTCTTGAGTAACCAGGCCCTTGCAGTTCTGGGAAAGGGGAGATTAGGGGATGTGGGAGGTATGTGGCTTTGCTACTAGCCAGAACTGTTACTTGGGCTGGCCAGGGTTACAGAGAAACAGTGTTATGCCACTGTGGCACAGAGACCTTGACTCCCCCTCTCCATTTCCTCCTCATCTTCTTAGCTGGCTGACTTCTTAGGTTTTATCTGACTGCTCAGGGCCCTTGTCAGACTTCTGGAGGAGAAAGACAATGAACAACTCAACCTCTTGATTGAGTTAATACTCAGGAGTGGAGCAGGGTAGATTAAGGAACTGGGGGGGGGGGGGTTGTCTCCACAGGCAAATGACTTCACTTCTCCATACCTCAGTTTCCTCATTTGCCAAATAGGGATGATGACCTGTGTCCTGACCACCTCTCAGGGTTGTTCAGAGTATCAAATCATAGGAGATCAGAGCTGGGAAGGGCCTTAGAACAGGGAATATCTCAATTAAGAGGAACTTTCCAACCTAGAATATCAGAGATAGGAGGGGAGGGTAGAATCTGAAAATATGGAGCATCAGAGCATCAGTAAGGGCTTTACTGACCAGCTAAGTGCTTTATAAATATTATTTCATTTAATCCTCACAACAACTGTGGAAGGTAGGTGCTGTTATTATCCTTATTTTACATTTGAGGAAACTGAGGCAAACAGAGGTGAAATTACTTGTCCAACTGGCAGGAGTCTGAGATTGAATTTGAACCTGGGTCTTCCTGACTCCATGCCTAGCCTTCTATCCACTAATCCTCACTGCCTCAATGAATGTTCACATGTCAGAGCTATTGGGAGCAACCTCAGAACATGGAATGTCAGAGCTGGGAGGGTCTTTAGAACATGCCGTGCAATGTGGCTCAGTAGTCAGAGAACAAAACTTGAGTGAGGGAGACCTCAGTTCCAATCCTGATTCAGACACCTACCAGTGTATGTGAATCTGCTCATCACCTCACCTGTGAGCCTCAGTTCCCTCCTTTGGAAAGTGGAAAGAACAATAGATAGGGTTGTGGTGATGATAAGATGACACCACCAGGGACAGTGCTTTGTAAAACCTTCAAGGAATAAATGTCAGGCAGCATTAACACACAAGGTCAGACCTTGAAGAGCTCAGTGCGGTGTTTGGCACATAGTAGGTGCTCTATAAATGTTTATTGAATTGAAAAGACATTAAAACATGGAATAAGAGCTAGGAGGGCTCTTAGAACAAAGAATGTTGTAGCCTCGAGTGTCCACTTCTTGGAACATAAAATGACAGCGCTGGGAGGGGCCTACGGCATAAAATGCTAGAACCAGCAGAGATCTCAGAGGTCAGTCCATAAGCTCACCTGTTTTGTGTCTTGGATGCCTGTGGCAGCCGGTCTGGTGAAACTTAAGGACTCCCTTCTCCGAGCTGTGTTTTTAAATTCCAAAGAAAATAGGGTGATACAGGAAACCAATTCTATACTGAAATAGTTTTATATGTGCATATATATATATATATTTTTTTTTTTAAGTTCACAGACCGCAAGTTAAGAACGCTTGGGCAGTCTCATATTACAGATGAGGAAACTGCCCCGAACTGGCTGCCACCAGATAATTGATATGCCGTGGTGGTTTGAGAGGTGGAGAACACTCTTTTTTCTCCAGACTGTCCAAGGTTATCCCAGGATGCTTGTTTCCCGAACTCGGTAGTGTAATTTATCTTCCCCCCCCCCCCCCCCACCTCTCCCAGAGAAGAGGAGTTCGTATCAATGCAGTCTAGGGGTTAGGTGCTCGGACTCCCGGGTCCAATTTCTGAGCCCTAGAGGACTTAGACTTGTGCGCGCCTGTGCGCTCGCGCTCGTGATGTAAGACTTAATCACAGAATCCTAAATTAGAACCAGAAGAGACTTTAAAAATCATCTTGTCCACACCCTTCGGTTTTTAAACATGAGGAAACTGAGGCCCATAAAGCGGAAGTGATTTGCTGGGGATCCCACAGCTAGACGTGGGGCAGCTCGGAAGGGTTTAGTGACATTCTGTGTACAGTATATAAAGGGCTTCCCGTGTGGGGAGGTCACACTGGCTTCTCGCTTGGAGCACACATGAAGGGGCTGAGGCTTGGAGAGGGAAGTGAGCTGCCCCAGATCCCAGTCCGAGAGAGGTGCGAGCGGGGAAGATCTGGGGCGAGCTGGGGACTGTGGTTTGTAAGTAATGGAGCCGGGACGTGTGTGTCTGTATGTGTGTGTGTGTGTCTGTAGGGGTACGGGCTGCCGGCACATTCCGGGAGACTAGGAGCTGTGAGGTGGGGAGCAGGAGACACACCAACTTTGGGGGTCCGAGCCCGGCCTGCCCTGGCGAGCGCCGGAGGGCCCGGGCAGGTGTGGGCGGGTAGAAAAAAGGGAGGGAAACAGGAAGCTGGGGGAGGAGGGTTGCCTCCGGGAGGGTGGGGAGAGGTCAGAAGTCCAGTGGAAGGGGAGGAAACAGGAGATGGGGGAAAGAGGGAGGTACTGGGGAGGGGCAAAGGGAGGAGAGGTGGGAAGGGAGAAGGTAAAGGAGGGTGAAGAGAGGAAAAAAGAGGCGGAGAGGAAGGGGGGAGAGAAGAAAGGGAGGGAAGGAATGAAAAGAGAAGGAGAGGAAAGGATGGGGTGTGTGTGTGGGGTCGTTGGATAGTTGGATGGGACCCTAGGAGTCTGGGTGGGAGGAGAAAGAAGAGGAGGGGGAGGAGGAGAAAAGGGGAGGGGCCGGCGGGAAAGGGTCCGGGGAGGGGAGGAGCTCAGGACCCCGCCCCCTCCCTGCACCGCCGCGGGGCTGGAGTAGCTGCCGCCTCCGCCCCAGCTGCGGGACCCAGGAGTCCGAGACGGTGGGAGCAGGCGGGTACCGGTGGGCAGCATGCGGGGTAAGGGCGGGGCGGGGAGAGCGCCCAGAAGCTCGTCGGAGTGGGGGGCTCCGGCCAGGCTGCGATGGCGTTGGGCCGGAGGGTGTGGGTGGGCGCTGGACACGCGGGCGGGCCGCTTCTCTTAGCCGGGAGAGCCGAGCTGGTGAGCGTGCGTGTGGATCCAGGCTGAGTCCCCTGCTTGGGGTGGGCATGCAGGCCTGGCTCCTTCCCCAGCGGGCTCCTGCCCCGCTTCCCCAGCACTCATGTTCTGGCCGACAGGATGCTGCCCCCGGGAAGAGTGAGGAAGCAGCTTCTGGAGTGCAGGGGAAGGAGAGTGGGAGAAGGGTCGGTGGGAGCTAGTTCTCCCTGGCCCTGGAACAGGGAGGTGTTGTCCCGGGAAGGGTCCTGGGACGGAGGGAAGGGAGTTCCCAGCGTCCCAAACCCCTTCTACTCCTGGTAGGAAGGAGGAGAGGGAGCTGACTTAAATCATCCCGGGCTGTGAGAGAGAGAGAGAACCCAGGGCTGGGCTCATTTCCTCCCCTTTCTCCCATGCACTGGGGAGATCAGGAACATGACCCCGGTGGAGAGTTGGTGTGGGGGAGTATCATACAAGGCAGATGGTATTTCAGAAATGCCAAGTTTGGTACCTGCGGGAGAGGGGCGTGGGAATGAAATGGACACGTTCTGCACATCTGGCTAAGTCCCTTTCCCCTCTGGTTCTTGGAGTAGACAGTGATGGAGACGGGCAGGACTGTTACTAATGGTTTCAAGTCCCTCCCAGCTCTACCGGGCTGCAGTTCTGGGCCATAAGATCCCCTCCACCAGTAGCACTTTCTTTTCCAAAGTCCCTGTCGGTCCTGGCATTTTATGTTCTGTGTCCCAAAGTCTCTTCCACCTTCACCATTCTACATATGCGCTAAGGCAGTGGTGTCGAATTCAAATAGAAACCGAACATTGTCTGCCTTGTATTGTATGCTTATTTGTTTTGTTAAACATTTCCCAATCACATTTTAATCTGGTTGGGGAGTTTGACAACTCTGTTCTAAGGTCCCTAGCATTTTTGACAAACTGTTCTAAGGTTTCTCCTCTATCTGACATTCTATGATATTTTCTGCTTGTAATATTCTATACTCCAATGCCTCCCATTCCCAGTTCTGTGTTCTAAGGTCTTTCCCAGCTCTGACTTCTGGTGTTCTAC